CACCCACACCCTCTCTTTCATGTTGATTACAAGAATGATCTTCTATACACTGTAAAGTAGAAAATGAGTTATAGAGTTTAATCGAGGATATTCTAGGAATGCCTATATGAATTCGTCGATGAATTTCTAAATTCTTGAAAATAAGATATTCGAAACATTAAAAATATGAACTTTGATTTTCTAATGAGAAAATCAAGAGTGAATTCATATAGGCATTCCTAGAATTTCGGATTCGATATAGCAATTCGAGCATATTCTAAAAACTAGAAAATCAAATTTGATTTTCATATCATGATGAAGTATCTTTTATTTATTTTATTTCATGAAATAAAATAAATAAATAATTTTACTAAAGGAAAAATTCATTTGATGGAACCATTCATTAATATCATCGTAAATAAACGATTAAATAATCTAATTTAAATATAAATCCATTCAAATTTATTCATTCACTATAATATCATTGTAAATAAATAAATGAATAACTCAGCTGAAATAAAAATTCATTTCATTTAATCATTCTTTAATGTCATTGCAGATGGATAAATAAATAAATGAATAATTTAACTAAAATAAAAAACATTTCATTTCAATCATTCATTAATATCATTGTATATAAATAAATAAATAAATAATTTAACTAAAATAAAAATTCATTTCATTTCAATCATTCTTTAATGTCATTGTAAATGAATCATTACATAAATGAATAATTTAACTAAAATAAAAAATCATTTCGTTTCAATCATTCATTAATATCATTGTACATAAATAAATAAATAATTTAACTAAAATATAAATTTATTTCATTTCAATTATTCTTAATGCCATTGTAAATGAATAATTACATAAATGAATAATTTAACTAAAATAAAAAATCATTTCATTTCAATCATTCATTAATATCATAACACTTCATAAAGAGAATATTGATTAAAAAAATTTTTAGAAATTTTTCTTCTATCTCTTATGAGGAATAAAACTGCATGATTAAAAATAATTGATTGTGTTCGTCAACACAGTACGGACTAACACAAACTGTAGCTATAGAATAAATTATTAATCTACTCGCTACAGCTGCCGGAAAGAAAATGAATGACCAATGTTGTCGGTTAATTTATATATCCAACTGAACAATCGCCACTACGCAGCTATTGTTTACTTGATTTTCTGTAAATATGTGTACGATTTTTCAAATCTTGTGAAGTCAGTTGTTGATTTTCTGATTTTTAAAAAATGGATTTTTTCGAAAATCAAATTGAATTTCTATAAATTGAAAAATCAAGCATTTTCGAATTATTCAAAATTCAATGAACAAATCATAAAGCTTTAAAAATGCTTCAGCTTATTTGAGATCGATTTTCCAAAAAGTAGAATTTCAAAAAAATTTACAGTGTACACTGTAATTTTTTTTTAAATTCTATTTTGAAGATAATCGATATTGAGTAAGCTAAAGGATTTTATAAGTCTTATGATTTATTCATCGAATTTCGAATATTTTGAAAATGCTGGATTTTCTAATTCTAAGAATTTCGGTTTTATTTCCTATGTTAAATCGAAGCTAGAATATCATTTGCTTATTTTCAAAAAGCTGGAAATTCATTGTTGAATTCATATGGACATTCCTTGAATATCCTTTCAGAATTCATATAGGCATTCCCTTTTTTTACAGTGTAGAAGCAAGTGGCGTCATTTCCCTACTTAAATTATAAACATCAATTATGAACTACACAGATTGTAATGTTGATGTTCTATTCAATTGATTAGGAGAAGTTGAATATGCTTCAGCTATCTCTGATTGTAATGTACCACTGAAAAAGATTATTCATTGTACTAAGTTCATTTTCATTCTTTTGAAACTGTTCGATTTCTTCCATAGTTAAAACTTGACCATGATAAACTGTAAAATGATGATTTGATTCAGAAAAATGTTTATTGAAATATTCATTGTAAAGTTTTTCGAGTTGATTTTGAAGATCATTAATAAAAAGTCGAAATTTAAATATTATTTTCACATCTTGCACACGTAAAGCTGTATTTAGTAATCGATATAGAAAACTACCATGTGTATACCACCAAATCGCTGTTTGTGTGGAATAAGCTTTTTCAAAATCATGTAGTTCTTCCCTTTGAGCGTTATTATTATAGTAATATGCTTCAGTCATATCACGTTTAGCATTACCATACTCTACCATTAATTGGAGGACTCTTAACATTAAACGATACCATATACATGCTTTACTCTCTCTACTTAATTCTTGTAATGATTTATCTCGTTCAGAAAGATGACATATACTCATTGGTATATTATTATCTGTATTGTATCCATCCAGATCGATATGTACTTAGGGCATACCAAAAGTAGTAGCGCCGACCCTGTCATTTTTTACAGAAGCCTTTTGAAAGTTTTTTTTTTCTATATATTCTAATAGCCCAAGTCGAGCTCTATAATTCTATGATATTTCATAAATCTTCAAACAGTATATAATATTGAAAATAAAGCAAAAACAGTGAATGAGTAACAAAAAAAAGTTTTTTAAGCAAGTTTACCACGTTTCTATTACATTAAA